GAGCTTAGAAGGTACCTACTAAGCACTCTCTAATACGGTTAGAGAGTGGCATACGAACCGTAACGTACCTACCGGTACGTGAAACATTTAAATGTTCGTATTATTCTGGTATCATAAAACTGTACTGTACCCAGGTCCATACATCTACTACGTTCATAAGGAAAAAAAAAAAAATTTTAATTTCAAGGAACACGTACACCGCCTTAAATCTTAGCTCACATTAACTAAGACAGTTGTAGTCTCAGAGGTATTTTAATAATGAATTCTTTTAGCAGTCACGTAGTTAATACCGACGTAGCCGTTTTAATGAAGGGTGTCATAAAACGTGTCATTGTTGGTGGTAAAGTGTACGGCGCTGGCAGCTCGGCGCGGGCGCGGACGCGGGCGCCTGAGCTTAATGCCTCGCATTAACACTATCGCTCGTGCGACTCGGATTAGCGGCACTTTATAAACGTGCATATGCATCCATGCATCGTGCCGTTCCACCAACACCCACACAGATGAACATCGTGACAAAAGTTTGGTAAGTGTACCACTGGGCTTACCGTCTTTAAACGTCAGATTAATTTGGGCAGTAACGGTAAATTAATCTGAATGGCACTTCGGAATATTAATTAGACCCATAACGCACCTTGCGATTACACCCGAAGTGGAGCTGGTTCGCTTGTAGAGGCATTTAGGTGCAGATAGATGTGTATGTAGAGATCAAACGTCCGGGGCCCAAATGCTTGGTCGGAATCCGATTCTATCCCAGTGGCCACTGTCCGCAGTTTGGTTGCATTACATTAGATTAGACACTGCTCGCATTCCTGTTGCTCTAAATTCATCTGATTGTTACTATATGTCTTCGAACACGATCTGCTGTTGTTATTTACACAATGTTGCCTCTTTGCATTTACTTACTTTGCTATTAGTCTTTGAATTAAATAAGTACTAAGCTTTTTGTAGCATCACATTTTATTGTAACTAAAAGGTATTCGGTGTTCGCATTTTCCCCTAAGATTTAGCATTTTCCCTTATTATTTTCTTGCCAGTTATATTAGAAATACCGTATACCTATATGTTTTCGGAGTCGCGGAGAACCTAACGGGTAACCGGGGCTCCGGCTCGACGTGCAGGAGTAGGAACGGGGTGGTTTTTAGTCAGTAAGAGTCTGACACTCCCTCCCGCCTCACCCAGGCGGGAGCAGTAATTCGATGATTTGCCCCCCTTAAAAAAAAAAATACCTATATGTTTGGTATGGTAATAGTATAAGGTATATATCTATAGGCCATAGTTACCTGAAAATAAAGTTCAAACAAAATAAATAAATAAGAAAAACTTGTTTCGGACTACAACAAATTCTAAAGACAGGGTTCAAACCTGAGTTTTCGGCTATTGTACTTACTATCGTCTCACTTACGACGCACAACGACTACGACGCTACAGAAAAAAAAACAAAACCCTATTTTCCTGCAACCATGTAACAATGAACAAAGTAGCAATGTAAAACAGCACCGAGATACATCGCAAACAACTTAAATACATTTAAAGGAGTGTTTTTAGGAGAGAGTAGTTAGTTCCCGACGTGTTAATTATATTGGGGGGGCGGTGACGTCTAGTGACGTGACACAGGTCCGCTTGAAGACGGTCCGGTCACAGACAATTGAATCATAAAGGTACACGTGACCCACAACATCGGGTCCGATGGACCGACGCTTTATTTCGTCTAGGAAACTCCCTTTTTGTTGTCCTACAATGTAAGTACGCTCTTTGATACGTTTGTTCTAGGAATGGGAACATCGTGCGTTAGGGTTGTCGAGATACTATTATTTGTTGCTTTTGAAATTTGAATCCTTACGACTGTATGTTTCATCTACTACATTGTATGATACTTATCTACTTATACACATGTCTGTATAAATGAGAACTCTCTGTATAGTTAAATAGTCAAACTATCACATTCAAAACCTAATTTTCATCCCTTCCGCTCATAATTTAAAGAGAGAGATGCAATCAGCACACTGAGTACATTCATCATAACATACGTGATATTCTAACTCGGCTTCCTGTAATAATCCCTACTAGCTTCCGAGTGTCGTAATCAAATCCTGTCGGGGCGAGAGCCCTAATCGAGGCAGACCACGCTCGACCTCCGTCAAATCGGGCTAAGGAACACGACCTGAGTGTCACAGCAGCGCAGATAACTGCAGCCGACCTTACCCGACCTTACCCGACCTCATCCGACCTCAACCGACCTCCGCCGACCTACCGTCCCGCGTGAATTACGATAATTACTATACAATTTAAAGAAAAAAAATCATACCTCGACTCAACACTCCTACTTTAATTGGAGGTTTCATTATCCGATACATTGGAGCGCACTTAAAGCAATTGATTGCGGGTTAACCGCTTTCAGAGTGTTCAACAGAAAATTACGTCTCGTAACAGAATGTAAAATATTTCACTGGTATAAGTTTCATCGAACAAATCAATGAAGCTCGTAAATAATAAAGTCGCTTACATTTGGGCATACGCTTCTAAGCAATTGTCTTCTCGTTTTGCTACGAATTTATATTGTCAACGACAGGAGGCGTCGGCTCGCTTAGAGCGTTGGCCTCCCCGAAACATATTTCACTACATAAATCATAACTTTATTTCCTCTCGCTCAGATGCCGAGCGAGGTGTCTTTGAAATGTCTTTAAGAGTTCCCGCGCGGCTATACCGCAACAAAGGACTCCGAAATTCAATTAGGTGCAGATGGAACTAAAAGACTTATATTATTTCTAAATATTCAATTTCAAATGCACAACTCTATATTTGTCGTGTGGTGTTTCAGTGCTTAATTTTTAATTTAATTTTGTCGTAAAACAAGTATATTAGAGTAGTAAATATTTTGCATTGAAGCTAAACTCATATATAGGTAAATAATTGACAATGTACTCGTTAAGCGGGTTTAGTTATCGTTTATGAATATGCATAACACACATTAAAGTTACATTGTTTTATGATCACACATAAAATGTAGCTTATATAGCGAGCTGCGTATGCGGCAGACAAAAGGCGGCTTACACTAAACGAAGAAGATTTACGTGGCGCCGGGGTACGCTTGTAAACAACGCGAGCCACCTACTAATTTGCGATCATTTTAGCGGTGTTTCCTGCCAATTAGCCGCTTTAAAACATCGCACCGCCAAACAAAGGGGGCTGGCTCATGAATTTATTGTTAGGTTACTGTCTTAAGTTATTTAAGTGTTCGTAGAACGTTATTCACGTGCGACGCCGCGCAGAATGCAGCTTCCTGCGACAATTTATCATGAATCTTTAATTAAACTTTAGCCGCGACTGTTCACAGTCTCATTGAGCTTTACAATAAATCCCTCGTATCGATTGTACATTATTAATTATTTGTCTCGGCTCCTTATTTTATAAGATGTTACGTTGATAATGTTTCTTGAGGTTGAACTGGAGGTCAGGATTGACAATATTTCTTTGAGTAACTTTTAGAATAGAAATCTTGGTATGTGAATACTTAAACCTGCATGGGATTAATAACATATACCTACGTAACTGATTAAAACATAGACTATTCATTAATTTTTTTTAGAAAATTGGTAATTGCAGCATATATATTCAGCCACTGACATAAAATCCGCACATGTAGTCCAAAATCTAGTTCAGAATATAGTGGGACATCCCTAGAGTATACTAGTTTCAATAGACAAATAGGTAGTATGTTATCCTGGTACGCGCAGCTGCACTTCTATTACACAAGGAGTATGAGCATATCTCCCCGACTAACCACCACAAAGAGTGCAGCTGAATGGTAATTTCTTACGTTACAAAGATTCTACCATGTATGTGTAATAAATGTGAGACAATGCTTTTGATATTATTCTTTGTCTTTTGTTTTTAGAGAAGATTATTAGTATATATTATTCTTTTAAGTAGAATGACTACACGTTGTTACTGCAAAGGGGTAGGTATTCAACGTTATACACATATTTCACACCAGTGCAGTTTTGTTCATCAGTTTAATAAAAGATTCTTCATTAATTACATATTCGTTTGGTTTTCCTAAAAAATGACGTCAAATCAAAACCATTTTAGGCTCTTTGTAAGGCTGAGGATACACGACGCCATCTTCTTCCGCGCCCGTTGCGGTATCGGAATTTTCAAAACTCACAAGCCCGCAGTTTTCTGTGATTCCGCAGCCGTTGCGGTAGCGATAATTGCCCGCAAACTTGGCGGTTTATTATTTAGTTCCAGACCGGCCGTTCCATTGCGATCCATTGCAGTCGCAACCGCCGCGGGCATAAAACGCGCCGCGAAAATTACTTTGATTTTTTTTCATACATATCTGTATTCTACAAAGGCCGCGGGCCCGCAACATAGGCGGGCGCGTGAGATAATAGCGCCGTGAGTACTTAGCCTAAAACTTTCCTGATATCTTTGATGCTTGTCAGGTGCGAAGGTTATAGCAAACCCTTTTATACAGAATATAGGTCCATAGACCAGTAGTACACTGTCACAAGCTCCTGATGAATTCAATCTTTTCTAAGACATAAAAGTGCACAGACCCGCTCGGTTACCTCGGTTTGTGAAAACCTCTCTTAAAACCAAATTAAATGATGAAAGTTTGAAAGTTTCGTTCGTTTAATAATAAAATTACCTGTGTCAGTTTGCTGGTAGAATTCAATTAAGAACTTTTTGAGTACTTTTATATGTACTTGTAGGATATCTGGTTTAATTGATAGTTCATGTTGATTTAAGAGTTTTAGGCTTACTTTGAAGTTATAGAGGAAAGGGAGGGATTTTGTTAATAGAGTCGTTTTATTACACTATAGGGAATATTTATGTGTGTGTGTGTGTGTGTGTGTGTGTTTGTGTGTCTGTGTATTAAGTGTTGCATTAAAATGTCATGCAGTAAATCTCAAAACAAAATTTGCTGGTATGATGCTATTTTGAAGCTCATGATTGAATATAAAAAATAAAGTCACATCGACATAATATGCATATTTACTTAAATAATTCCATAAATTACATATATTTACAACAATATCAACAAACATTTACGTCTAATATATATTTTCCTATGCGTAACAGATTAGCTATACATCATATAAATCTCTACACGAAGTCTATACATAAATGATTTCTACAAGTATTGCGTATAACTGTTTATAAATATATAATTATAATGTTCCCTATGACACGTAGACCCGTCAACTTACCCTTTCAGCCGAAAAATAAGACATTATTCATTAAAATTTACATTCATCATTAAGAGGTTAGTGACCTTGGTAAGTTGTTATAGTTAAAATAATAGTTGCCTGTTGTTAAACATGTATGTAGATGCGCACAATATATAGGAACACACAATATAGCAACAAATCACATTAAAATATGAAAACAAACAAGAAGAATATACGGTAGAAACCAACGCATTATTTAGTTAACTCCTACGATAAATAAAACAGAAATAACACTAACATTTTCATACATTACGTTAAACAAATTGATTTGTATGTTTGCGAATACGTTCAACAAACATGGAGGGTGGTAAACATTAAAATCAGATGGAAGTATTCACAACGCATAACAAAATATGATTTGAAGTTCGTTCAGCCAATCGTTATTCTAAACGCGATCCAAAAGGCACTAGATTTTATTATTACAATAGATTTCAATTGATACGTTTTCGAAAGTCGTTGTAGTTGATTAAATGTGATTAATAAGCTGAATAAATAAAGTATTTGTACACAACTAGATTAAGACTTCTGTTCGCTGGTGGAATATTATCATACAATAGAAATTAATGATGACAACAAGCCAAATTCAATATCTAACGTTTCCATTCCAACAAAAACAACACATTTCAATATTCGAGTCTTGTATATTTCATTAAATTAGCTAGAAAAATCTTTGAGAACGAGAATACCGCTATAGTTATGTATAATTTATACTTGGAAACAATTTATTTGACAAAGTCATCATCCCTATTCTAGATTTACACTTAAACTTGGAATAAACATGTGGAAGTAGCGGTTTCCCATACAAATATTTACTCTGAAACGAATAACAAGCGACTGCAGTATTTTGACAGAAATATATTAACTCTTATTTGTACATACAGACAAATAAATTGGGAAGTTACATTTCACTAATATGGGGCTCAAACATCACACCTATTCGTAATTCGTTCTACGTTAAATTTATTTGACATCGTTGTTAATTATATTAAATACATGTATGTGTAATTTTTACCAGAAATGGAGGTAAGTTAATTCTCGTCTTTAATTTATAACAATAACAGTTTCTCAAAGAAGCAAATAACAGAATATTACACAATTCGTAATGATAAGCACAACCGGCTTGAGACTTACAAACCACTGAGAGTGTCTTAAAGCGGACTGAAAATTGAAATCATGCCCTCCATGGAAATCCCTCAGGAACAAAGACAACTATTTACTATTGCCAGGACAACAATTAAACACGAATTTCATTAAAATTGAAGAATACCAAGCTATTATTAACTTTGTTAAAAATAAACCAGTGACAAGCTTTCAATTTTAAATCCCTAACATCCTACCTCGTATAATCACGTAAATCCATTCAGAGACATATATGTTACGCCTTAAAACACAACGTTGACACATCACTATAAACTAATATAATTGCATATTCGTTAATGTACATAGCGCTTGAAATACTTGAGAAAGTAAATAGAAAGCGTCAATGAACAACAATGTCACAGGATCACAATATAAATTCATCATCGGCATATAAGGCTCTCTTCTCTCGCTGCGCAGACGCCGTGGGGCGGGGCGAGGAACAGCTTGCCGTTCGCGCATGCGCACAGTTGGTAAATGTTCTGGTGGTGTGGATCATGCGTGTGCGCGGAGGGTGGCAGTGGCAACGCCGATTTTAACTTTGGCATAAATATACTGGGTGCATCTAGACGAATCTGGAAGAAATAAGGTTTTCGATTTTACAAAACTAAGTAGACTGAAAAAGTTCACACACACATTCATCAATTTGAATTTTCCCTTATGTAACCTTTATCAGGCCTATTTTAAATATATTCTTCTGCTTGAGTAGCTTCTATACGAGTTACCACTAGCATTCCTCTTTTAAAAATTGCTTTCGTAAATCAGGTAAAACATCTCAAAGAACTGAAAACATAGCATAGCGCGTCAATGACTATTTTATCAACTTTTTAGGATTAATGTTTCGTCTTAAAGCTTTAATTTACAAGGGGAACAGGTGCTCACCGAGCCGGCGACAGATCGGAGTCGGAAGGTAGTGAGGCAGCTGGCGCTGATGTCACCGGCGCGGGACTCTAGCACTATGTTCTGTGCCGCATGCATCTCCAGCGAACGCGTCGGTGACTCCAACCTGTTCGTGAAGGGCTACGTGTACTTTTTGTTTGTTTTAAATAAGGTTTTGATGTTTGTGGATTGTCGTAAATATACGTATTCCTTTTTTTTAACAAAACACGCAGTTTTTAACGTCACCTGTTTTTTTAAAATATAATACTTTCCCCCACACTAGAATTTTCTCCTATGTCGTGGGTGGATGCGTTTACAAACATACAAATATTCAGATCATAGATCATTAATTTTATAATACGTAAGTTATTTATTTCTTAACGGTTAGCTGACCTCAAAATAAACTATTATTTTTGTTGGCTTTCGTATAAGATAATTTGTATAAAATAATTTGTAATCTTTCACTGTAAACGCATGGCTTCCTTTTCCGACCGTTTGTACTTTTATTTCAGTCTATAAATATTTATCATGGCATATGTCACATTAATTGTTCACCACTTTATTGGAAACTCGGAAAATCTGTCATTAAATAAACAGCAAAGCTCCAATAAATTTTGCGAAACATGTGGTAAAGCCATGCTTTCGATCGGACAACAAACTTCAGTAGGTGCGTTTGACATAACTGTATGTTCAAACTAACGAGTTCTAACTTCCTCTGCGACGAGGACAAAGCTCGTAAATTTGGTAAAGTACAAACACACAAATATACTTACACCAATGGTTTTGAAGGGGGGGCTTTGACTAGGGGTGTCTGCGCGGCGGCTTGTATGGTGACGCCGGCAGGGCTGACCACCGTCAGTGTTTCTGCCCCGATTGTGACCGAGTCCTGCCCCGCGCCAAGTAACAACGCTCCCCGGGCGTCCCGCACTTCTAACCGACCTACGTTCACTTCGAAACGATCGTGGCCTAGAAAGTTTCTCAGTATTTAGAATACACACCACTAATGAGCGCTTTGAAAAAATCGTTTACACTTCTGCTCACATTAAAAACAAAGGCTTAAAGCTTACCTAGATATAATCTACTCTGTAACAATCCGTGCGAGTCTCTAGTAGAAACAGTGAAATTTCGAGAAGCTTCCATGTAAATTGGATACCCTCGACGTGACTTGATGGTGGACGCGAACAGAGAGTCCAACATTAGAGCTTGCCCTAACAGTTGTAACCCTCCAGGTACTATACGGAGTTGACCCATTCCTTCCTAAAAGAGAGTAAAGATTAATAAAAAAGATATATACCTCTATAACAACAGTAAATATATAATTTTATAACCGTAATGGTGTCTTACCGAATTAAAATCCAAGACTTTAAGTACCCATAACGTCAGTGCGAGATTGATGACCATCATCAACATAAGAGTCATGACCAGTATGTATAGACATTTCTTCCGCCAGCCGTAGATGCCTACTTTGAACTGACTGTTATAGCTATTCCTGATGGAGTCAGCCTTTGTGTCCCTACTGGTATTGTTGTGCAGTATTGGCTCCGGAGTGATCTTGTCAGCGTACGGTATTCTGCAAGAAAGATCATTATGCTTTAAACAATGCACTATTCAGTTGGAAAATCACAATATCTGTATCGGATTGATGGCTGCTTTACAATGTTTTGTGGAAAAAAATTACTCAGTGCTTAACTTTGCAAAACTCAAACTCAAACTCAAAAGCATTTATTTCAATTAAACCATATTTTGGTACTTTTGAAACGTCAACAAATATGAAATAAATAATAGTCTGTCAGTCTGTCCGTCAGTGAAGCTAGGCGCTCGTTCCAAAATGTCGATTCGAGTGGAGAAGAACGAGCAAGAAACTCCATTCGTTACTCTTTTAAAAAAAAGTCTGTTTTACATTGCTCTGATACATATTCCAATATTGTACACACATGTGAGAATAATGTAAAGACAGACCTGACGCAACATACAAATAACAGAACATACTAAAATAGAAAAAAAAAAAAACAAAACCAAGAGAAAATTATTAATTGCTTATCGGAGGTTATTTTTTTGGTCATACAAATGTTAAATGAACATCAATTTGACATCATCATAAGTTTTATTTAAAGAACTAATCTAATTTTGGTAGATACTAACCTAACCTAACGTAACTTTCTAATTTAATATAAATTAACGGAGTAAAATATGTGTGTCTCGAGTTAGTCCGAGTTAGTTTGTAGTCATAATAATGTTGTTTCAAATTAAACAAGTGGAACATAAAAGAATGCTGCGATAAGAGTGAGCATAAATGTCTAGTTAAAATTAGTATTTATAGGCATGAAATACAACTTTAGGTCATAAAAATATTGAGTATGACAGTGAAATTGTACATGGTGTTACAAGAGGCCTTCTTTCTACACCAACGTTATTTTTTAAAATATGCCTTAACTCGTTGAGTACCGTCATTATAGACACAATTATAGAACAATAGGTTGCGGTCACCGGTGACCGCTTGGTGTTTGACAGTTTAAGTAGGGACACCTCTGCTTCCTCCATAATTGGAAAACAAAACACGACGCCATATAACTAAATAATCAATCACAGTAAAACCCAACCAGTATTTACATAAACAATATTTAAAGCAAAATAAGATTATTAAATGTTATTTAACACACATCGTCATAAAACTGGCTTCATTCGTTCAGTTTTACATTCCAATTTGGGGTAGTTTGTAGGGCGGGGGTGCGGGGGAACGAAATATGCTCGACAACACGACTTCCACGCGTATTGGTACCATTAAAAACGTCTGTTTTTACTTCGACAGCGAATAAAATGCAGTTTTATTTTTAAAATCATTTTATTGTTTTTTAAAACAAGCCTTTTATAGGCCAGGAATAAATATGTACTCGTACTGTTACGGTGATCATAAATTCTTAATTACTATTTTCAAAATGGTGAAACGTGGTTTATTACTGGAAGTTTATTATTATGTAAATGTCGTAAGTGCATTGTGTTAGGAAACCACTGCTTGAAACTATGCATTTTATTCAACAACAATTTGCTTGAATTCACGTGAGTGTAAGGGGCGATTAGGTGATGACACCAGGTCCTAGGTTCGATTAACCATTAACTACTGAACTATATAGTTGTGCGTTTTGCGGAATGTTTAGACTGCTAAAAAATATGTCCTTCCACAAAAAAAAACAAAAATGTATTTATAAAAGAAGTTTTTATTACTATATCATGTGATGTACAATGAAGAATTTGTATTGTATTGCATAGTTGACTTTTCATAATAGAATGTTAAAAAAAGCCAAGTGGCTTGTATCAGATGTCTGCTAATGGCCTGGCACTTTCTGCAACGTCATTGTTCGTCGGCGTAGATTATATTTTGTTTCACTCTTATAGCCGACTATATGACCTTGTATGCAAGTATAGTGGTCGTGGTGGCCCGGAGGTCTAAGACGCCTGCTTCTCGAATCTTCCGCTCCGATTCGAAACCTACCAACGGCAAGTACCAATGTGACTTTATCAGAGTTATATGTACTTTCTAAGATTATTTAGACACCACTGACAAACGGTGAAGGAAAACATCGTGAGAAATCCTGGACTTATAATTTCTAATTATAAGTTCGTAATCGCCAACCCGCATTGAGCAAGCGTGGTGATTAATGCTCAAATCTTCTTCGTGTGAGAAGAGGCTTTGCTCAGCAGTGGGCATTTATAGGCTGTTGATGATGCAAGTATAGGAAAATGTCCTACTAATCGATAAAAGGATAATAAAATAGTAAAATAGAGTGACTAATTAGAATAGGAAAAAACGTGTTTACTCCAGTATCACAACCAAAATGTAAGAGTTATTTGTTGTTCTCAACTGTTTTTTTTTAATTTATTTTTATTGTTTTTATTAATTTATTTATTTTCAACAACTTTTAAAACGAGACTCATTATATACTTTATTGTATTTCATGTTAACGAACTTACACTTGTAAATTCTAGTTCATGGCGACATTATATTACATACATCGTCGGATCGTTAATGGAAGTGGACGTGTCGTTCGTTAATATTCTCGCTTACCGGAAAGTCTTAGATATCTATTACGCTAATTAGTACCGTTGCGTATGCAAATAAATCACATATTGCAGTGTCTCAAAAGGAACATTTTGTGGAAATAAACTTGTCGTGAGTGCTACCTGTGAGCGCGGGGACGTGCCGCACCTCCTCTGCGATAAGAGATAGTTGCTATTTTCTGTCCTTGTCATCGCCGCGGCAGTGCGCGTGCACCGAATAACCATGAGTTTATGTGCCGTATGTAACTATATAGTGGAAAAGGATTACTTGGAATGCCAGCGTTGTTCAGATAAATATCACTATTTATGCCTCGATATCTCGCTGGATGAGGGAAATAAACTAATTGCAAACAAGTGGATATGCCTTTGCTGCAGTAACAAACAGCCTAAAGGTAGCGATCCCGTCCGCCCTTCAACTCCGACAAGCTTGGCTGAGATAACATTTAATGTAACACGTCGCAAAGTACAAAATAAGCTGGAAATTATGCAAGCATCTACTAGTAGAATGTCGGACAGTGTATCGCGCTCCGATATACGGGAAGAAATGCGGTCAGTTATGAATGAATTTATGAGCGAAATGAGAAACACCTTAAATATCGAATTACGTGAACTAAGGGACCAAATATCTAGTTTTAAGGATTCTCTTGGCTTTCTGAGTGCTCAATTTGACAATCTGAACAGTGATGTTGCCGCTCATAACTCGACGATTAAACTACTTAAAAGTGAAAACGAGCAGCTTCGGTCAGAGGTCTCCGTTTGGTCTAATCGTGTCAGACAAATGGATCAGCTGTCTAGATCAACAAATATTGAACTACAGTGCGTGCCCGAGCACAAATCTGAAAATGTATTGTGCATTGTTAAACAGCTTGGTCAAGTTGTCAAGTTTCCCATTAGTGATGGCGACATAGCTTATTGTTCACGCGTTGCTAAGTCTGATCCTAAGTCGTCTCGTCCACGTACTATCCTGGTGAAATTCAACATCCCTCGCATCCGGGATTCCCTGCTAGCGGCTACTATACAATACAATAAGGATAACCCGAGTAAGAAGCTGAACACCAGCACACTGGGCCTAGATGATAAGAAGATAGCGATATTTGTTACCGAGAACCTTACAATGGAAAACAAAAACCTGCATGCCGCTACCCGACTTCGGGCTAAAGAACTAAATTATAAATTTGTGTGGGTACGAGGAGGACGAGTTTATGTACGTAAATCAATCGAGTCGGAAAAGGTATTTATTCGTAATATGGACTCATTGAATAAATTAATCTGATCATTTTTTTTTCTTTTCAATATTATTGCTTTGAACTAATATCTTGTAACGATACTTAACTGTTCACATTCTCTGATTTAATTAGTTGTTATTATCAAAATGTGAGAGGGTTGAGAACCAAAACCACTGATTTTTATTTGAATATATTAAATTGTAGCTATGACATCATTGTACTGAGTGAGACTTGGTTGGCAGGCGACATATTGGATTCTGAGTTATTTTGCAACCGATATCTGGTGTATCGACGTGATCGTGAGTCTAGTGGGTTTCATAACAAAAAGTCTGGTGGCGGTGTGTTAGTGGCGGTATCTAAGAGGCTAAGATCTTGTCGAGTGGCTAATTGGGAGAGTAAATGTGAGGATGTGTGGGTGTGCGTAGATATCTGTGTGAACAAACAACCAGCCAAGCTTTTAATCTGTGCCGTGTACATTCCGCCACCGGTGCAAGGACATATTATGCAACATTTTATCGACAATGCAAATAATGCCTTGGAACATTTTAATTCCACGTTAATACTAGGTGACTTCAACCTAAGTAGCATTGAATGGAAAGGTTCACCGGGCACACCGCTTGTAGCTTCATTAAATAAAACTGGAATTTACGAACAAACACTGTTAGACTTTATTTACCTGAATAATTTAAATCAATACAATTGCGTTTACAACCATAATAACAAAATACTAGATCTTGTCTTGACCGATAAGAATATTAAATATATTAGTATATCTGAAAATCCTCTAAGTAACATAGACTTGCATCATCCCCCCCTTGAATTTCACTTAGTGTGTAGTTTGCACGAAGAAACTTTGCGCCCAAACCTGGAACCGAAATTTAAATTCTACAAAGCAGATTATACTAAAATTATTCAAGAATTAGGTGACATATCGTGGCAAGATTTGTTTTCACAATGTTGCGACGTCGATTCAATGGTAGATTCATTTTACAAAATTATTAATGATGTTATTGAGAAATATGTACCTAAGACGAAACCTGCAACTAGTAAATATCCAGTTTGGTTTGGCAGAGATCTTATTCGCTTGCTACGAGAAAAAAATAAGTACCATAAACTTTATTTAAAATTTAAAAACCCCCTAGACCAAATATCATATCGCGTGCTCAAAGCTAGAGTATCTAAATTAACACAAACAAATTATAGGCAATACATTAAGTCAATTGAATCTTCAATCACTTCTAACCCCAAGCTCTTTTGGTCATTCTTAAAGCAGAAACGTAACGGTAAT